GGATTTTTGAAGCAACATCAGAGGGGAATTTTATTAACGGTCTAAAAACGGACATACGCACAACACTTCGTCTGCGTAGACTGCGAGGATTGAGGGAAATTATGAAATTTTAGTGTAGTTGTTTGAGGATAAAAATGCAATCGAACATGCTAATAAGAGCAGCACAAATGGAGCGCCTTACTGAAATGCTACAATCACAACAATACCAAAAACTCAAACAACAAATGTATAGAGGGTGGGGCGTAAATAATGGGCCACGATCAAGGACAACATTCAAACTTCTTACAGTGGCAAATCAGGAGAAGCAAACAAATATGTTATGTTTTTGATGTGATGAACATTTTTTCCTTTCCCTAAGACACTGTTGCAAGGATTGGACATTACATGTTCTCACTGTGTGTGGTGAGAAGGCAAAACAACTTTATCCAATAACAATTATCTTTTATCAACTTTGAGGACAAGGAGTATTGTTATGTTGGTGCCTAGCTGAAGGATAGTTTTGTCTTTTATTAGCCTATGAAAACTTTAGGCTTTTATTATTAATTATTATTTGAATAAATAGGGATTAATAGTTTAGAGTTAGGGTTACACATGAGATTGTGTCTTGAGTCTTAGGGTGTGGGTTTGTGAGGGATTTGTTACCTCTCGAATTATAGGATTTGGCAAAGATCTCTTACCTCTTGAATTGTAAGCATTTATCTTTTGTGTTGTGTTGTTTGTGTTATTAAAGAAAGAAATTTGTTTTACCATAAGTTCTTTGTTGAAATCTATGTCGAATTGTATCATATTCTCAACTATTTAACACATAATATGGTAAATAATAAAGGATGGCTATAGAAACAAAGCTTAGAATAAATTAAATACTAAATTAGATGAAGACAAATCATCATTTCTCTGACAGAAGAAAGACCAAAGTTAGGGTCCATGGGGGTTTTTGGGATTATTTTTATTTTTATTTTATGTTGTTCATGTTCAAATTGAGCTAAAAATATATTTGATATTGTTAAGATTTGGAATAGATGAGGAATAGATGAGCTCAATTTCATTAATAGGAGGGGTATTTAAACCCAATTACACTAGACATAATAATGGAAACTAATAAAAACATAATAAAATAAATAAGAAATAAATAAAAACAGAATAAAGCAAAAGGAGAAATACATAATCAGGGAATAAAATCAAATAATGAGTAATAACGACATAGGAATAGCCGTTATAATTTAATACTTCATTCAAGTTAAATTATAGATGTCAGTCACGTTTCACTTGGATTTGAAGTCATCGAATAAAGGGCGGGGCAAATTCTGGGTGAGGATATCCACTAATTAACCACTGAAGGAATTATATGGAACACAAATGTCCCCGAACTTAGTTTTTTCATTAATGAAGTGTCTTTCGATCCCCACATGTTTGGTACAATCATGCTAGACTGGGTTGTGAGTAATGCTGATTGCGGCCTTTTTATCACAGAATAGCTGTAGCAGGACAAATTTCCGTACGGAGTTCGCAAAACATGATGCATATAGCCAAAGTGCTTCACAGATGCCTAAGAACATTGATCAGAATTTATCTTTAGCACTGTTTTAGACAACCACAAATTGTTTTTTTTTTTCACTTGACAAAATTGCTCCATACAAATGAACAATACCTCGAGGTGGAACGTCGATCATGAACTAATCAGACCCAATCAACATTTGTATAAATAACAATAGACCAAGAGGTGTGGCGGGAATAAAACAAATCTAAACCTGGTGTACGTTTTAAGTAGTGGAGAATTTGATGGACAACTTGAAGGTGGTACTTGTATGGGTTATGCATGAATTGACTCACTATTCCAACCGCGTGACATATGTTGAGATGAGTATGAGCCAAATAGATGAGTTTTCTCACATGGCGCAGGTAATTAGTTTTGTTCACAGTTACAATATTGGGAATGTCAGATGATTTTTTATTAGAATTCATATGAACAACATGTCTGCACTAAAGAATGTTGTTCTCTATCAGGATGTCAATCACATATTTTCTTTGAGATAGACAAATTTCTCGAGAGGACCAAGCCACTTCCATGTTTAAGAAGTACCAAAGAGATCCTAAATCCGCCATTTCGAAGGACGAAGCAAGAATAGCTATGAGATCATTACGTGTAAAATAATATCATTAACATAGACAATAAGAATAGCTACTTAGCCGTTGGAGTAGTGTCGGAAGAAGTGGATGTGATTCGATTGAGCCTGAGTAATACCATGACCCACGACCACCTTTGTGTACTTGCCGAACCAGGCCCTTGGGGACTACTTTAGCTCATAAAGGAACTTTTGTAGCTTGCACATTTGTCCTCTGAAGGCAGTAGAATCAAAACCTAGAGAGAGAGACATGTACACCTCTTCTGTCAGCTCACCATTCAAGAATATGTTCTTAACATCTAGTTGGAATAAATGTGAATCCATATTCATTGCAAGTGACAACAGGACTTAAATAGTGTTTAACTTAGCCACTGGAGCAAATGTTTCTTCATCTGTGAGTATCATTTGGCGACCAATATTGTCTTGTTGTGTTCAAAGGATCCGTCAGAATTGAACTTGGTACTAAAAATCCATTGACACTCTACAACCTTCTAACCCCGGGGAAGATCCACGCCTCACGTATGGTTATGTTGAAGGGCATTCATTTCCTCCATTACTGTCATTTTTTAGGCTGGATCAGTAAGAGCAACCTCAATAGTAGCAGGGAACTGATGGTCCATCAGAGTAATAGCAAATGTTTTGTAGGTCGGCGCTAAATTGTGGGAAGACACACCTGATTGCGTACTTTACTCAGAACTCACCTCGTTTGAAGGAGGGGTTGTGTTGAGAACGTCGCCCGGAGTGGCGTCAAAGCCCTGTAAGGATGTAGCGAACTCTTATGTTGGAGCATTGGGATAAGTGCGCCAAGTTTAGACACAAACAATGTGAGGAGGAGATGGTGCACTCAATAGTACAGTGGACTCCTCTCTGGTGGGAACAATGGGGGACCATCCATATTAGGATAAGGGACAATGTCAGCGAACTCAAGCTCCCCTTACTAGCGGCCGAGCTAGAGAAATAGAGAACATTTTAAAAGAAAAAGACATCAACACTCACATTGATTTTGTTTGTGGTTGTATCAAGGCGTCGATATCCTTTCGAGTTGCGGAGTAACAAAAGAAGATATAATTTATGGATTTGGGATCAAGTTTACTTCGAGTACAGTGCATCCAAATAATTCAGGATCTAAACTGGAGAAGATTCGATTGGTAGGGAAGCCTGACATCACGATGACTAAAAGGGTTCAGAGTTTAGTGAATTTTGGACGGGACACTATTTATGAGATATGTGACAGTTAGAGATATATGACATCGTTCTAAAAACGTATCGGGACTTGTGATTGAAATATAATTGAGCGAGCAACGCCGAGGAAGTGACATTTTTTTTCTCTCGGTTACCTCATTTTGTTGATTGCCCGTGCAAGAACTATGGTGGAGGATGACTTTACTTACCGAGAATTCATTCAAAATAGAATTGAAAAACTCACGACCTTTGTCGGTCCGAACGACCTGAATAAGAGTTTTTGAATTGAGTCGAGACAAAACTTTAGAAGTTTTGGAAGTCATATCGACTTCTGATTTGTCTTTTAAAATGTATATCCACGTCATTGGAGTGTGATTATCGATTAAGGTTAAGAACCACTGTTTATTGATCGCAGCTGGGAGTGCGAGAAGGTCCCCATATGTCACTGTGAAAGAGGGAGAAATGAGCGGAAGGTGTGTAAGTGTGAGGTGGGTAATTGACAAGTGATGTTTGACTAACTAGCATGTCTCACAATTGAAATTAGAGATTTTTATTATTAAAACATCAGATACAATATTTTTAAATATTGAAAATTAGGCTGACTTAAACGATAATGTAATAACATAACGAAACATTCAATAACTTGAGATAGACTACAACTTTTGAGTGTCGTGTTTTCATTCTAAGTTTTGTTTTCTTGGAAGTAGTAGAGTCCAACTATCCTCTTAGCAGTAGAAGAGGATTCCGACCAAGAATACGACCCTGAACTTTGTCAAGGTTCTTGTTAAGGCCAGCCAGTAATTGGAACATACGGTCCTTTTCTACATTATGGAAGAGAGATAAGTCGGATGGAGATTCACAAGTGTAGTTGTAATACAAGTCGCAGTCCATGCATAATGCAACCAGGTCATTATAGTGTACTTGTTCGCGGTCCTTGACCCCTATTTCGCCTCGCTGCTCTTCTTAGATGCTTCATAGAGTTACCTGGAATTTTCTACATCTGAATAGGTATTACAAACAACTTTTCAGAGCACAAGGGAGGAACATGTGCGAACTCCATGGAGTTGATCAGCCATGACATGACCAAGGAATTTTTCACTTCCCAAGCTCCATATATTAGATTAATCTTTGGAGGTTCATGAACCACACATGTGAGATAATCAAACTTTTCACGAATATTGAATAAATTAAATGCTATGACAACAACAATCACTGACAAAGCAACGCAATCGGCAAGTCAATGATAGTGGTGGTTATGGCCAACAATCATATGTGACAATTGGTGGTGGCAAATGGCAATGATAGTTTTTTTTCTTAAAATATTTAATACTCGTAAGAGTTGATTTCTTTAAGTACAAACACGTAAAAAATTACACTAAAATTTTATATTTTAAAAATAAGAATAAAATAAAAAATAAATAAGAAATATAAAAAAATCCCAAACAGGCCCCCTACTTATACTTGTATTGAATCTTCATAAAGATTGTGTTTGCCTAAATTGTAGTTCAGGATAAAATGAGTGTGTTTATTTTGCTGTGTTTCACTGATAACTATACATATCTATCTATATTCTACCGTGGCACTTCTCCGTTTATCTTTTTGCGCTTTGGGAGAAGATAACCAATTTAGCCTATATGATTTTAAGCATTCCATGTTCTCTTATTTCTTCTTACGCTAACGTTTCCTTTGGTGCAGACAATTTGCTCAGCGTTCCCGGGTGCGAAAACTTCAATACATTGCAGAACTAGAGAAAAATGTTCAGGCCTTACAGGTAACTCCTGGCATATCTTTAGAGGAGTAGAATCTAGCTCTTATTGTAGAAATTAAAATAGGAACTCAAAGAGCGTGTGTAGTGCTTATGCTTGAACCCTTGGATTGCTTCAAATCACAACTGCTTGTGTCTCTCACTGTAGGCAGAACAGATGGAAGTTTCAGCGGAACTGGAATTCTTAGATCAACAAAATCTTATATTAAACTTGGAGAATAAAGCATTGAAGCAACGACTGGACAGTCTGGCTCAGGAGCATCTTGTAAAATGCCGTAAGAATGCCACAGTTTTACTATTTTATTGTTTATTGCCTGTCAGTTTTTGAGTATGATTTGATTTTCTATTTTAATTGATAATCTGAATGTATAGAAATGCTACAAATTGTGGTAATACTACACTAATGAGAATTGACGAATTTTTTTAGTTTTATCGTATGTTTCGGCTTATGCTTGGGCTCTCCTCATTAGTATAAACTTAGATCAGTGTAAGTAGCAAACCCATGAAACTAAACAGTCACCCATTAAATTATAGATAGATAGATACATAGCTAGATAGGTAGGTAGGTAGGTAGGTAGGTAGGTAGGATTTAGATTAGGTAGGTAGGTAGGTAGGTATGTAGTTTAGATTATGAAAGTAGTATTTTAAATTTTTAGAAAATGAGACCGAATGGATCTCATTAATCTAAGAGTTTGCATAATTATGCATGATACCTTGAATACTACATATTCTGAGAGATAAGTGTAGACCCCGACGATAGACCCAATCCTGCAAATTAAGAGATTTGTGACATCTGTTTGACCTGCAAACCTTTTTATGTGTGACTGACAAGTTCCTCTATTTAATATAAATATTAAATAATGTTTATTTTAGATGAGTTCTAAGTTTCCTATAGAGACAAGTTCGTATAGTTAATTACATCCCAAATGACGGGAGTCACTTGAAGAAACTCTCGATAATGATCAGTGGTTATAGTGTTCAAGAATTCGAGGTTTAGATTTTTACGGTAGGACGTGGAAAAGCAAGTGGGAGTGACTCAAATTGGAGCAGTTATTTTCAGGAGTACAAAGAAAGTAAAAGGTAGGGGACTTCACAGATCCTGAGGGGAATCATCAATGACTTTCCAAACTATCCTACTGTGTAACTGTGTTTTAGAGAGGATGTTATTTGAGTGTTCAGTCCTGTCAACTTTATTGTTTGGGATTTAAACTTGCATAATAACTTGTTATGCAGATAGCGCACAGAGATAAGAAGTTTTACGTCGTTCTGGACGACAACCTCAGAATCTAAGGCGAGTTAGGACTTATACTGCTCAGTATGACTGTGTAGGAGCCTAAAAAAGGGTGAGGATTTACATCGCGTTGGACGAGCTACCTCGAAATCCTGTGTTGTTTAGACCAGGAAAATTTAGTTGGTGTAGACTTGTTTTGCTGTTGTAGAATGACGACCATCTCCACTTGTAGTTCACTCCAAGCTTCTTGTCGCGCTGCCCACGAAGTTGCTCCAAGCTGCTTGTCGAAGCGGGTTTAAGTTTTCTAATGTTTCAAGTCATGATGTCAAATCAAATATTTCTTAAGGTTATGATCATTTAAGTATTATGGGGATGTTAAAGTTGATTAGAGCGACACCGCTTAGGATTCCACGGTTCCTTCGTTTTGGTATCACTTTTTTCTTTTGAATTTACTTAGCTTAAACGAATTGTGAAATCCATTTAAACCTGGAAGTAATTCACTTAGTCCAAATGAGTTGTTAAGCTCCTTTAAACCAAGAAGAACGCTTTAGTAACTGTGGGTTACCTCATCTAAGGGACTCCCATAAATTCAAAAGTACGTGTTATGTTTTTTTTTTGAATATGTTATTTAATTTTTGAAAAATGTTTTGTTTTGAAAATGAAATTGCAACCAGACATGCATTATACATTAAAGCAAGAGTAAATTACAGTGATAAAAATGACAATAAATAATGATCTTCTCGCTATTTCTGCTGCATGATTAGCTCACAAAACATAATATAATTTACAGGGAATTTAAATAAATTGCAGAGAAAAGAAGAGAACAATAAACAGCAGAACAAGTCATAACAACAGCTAGGAACTCCAAACAAGTGATCCTGATGCTTTCTACAACTCCGAACTGTAACTAGCGAGCTAGTACGATATTTATATGACTTCCTACGAATCCAAACATTGGTGGACAACACCTAGGTGGCTTCCTACAAACTCAACTAGCGGTGGACAACACCTGGGTGGCTTCCTACGAACTCAAACAGTGCTCACGAAGCTTGTGCTTACGAAGCTTCCTATCACTCCAAACATCAACTATAAAGTGCAAACAGTGCTCACGAAGCTTGTGCTTACGAAGCTTCCTATCACTCCAAACATCAACTATAAAGTGCAAACAGTGCTCACGAAGCTTGTGCTTACGAAGCTTCCTATCACTCCAAACATCAACTATAAAGTGCAAACAGTGCTCACGAAACTTGTGCTTACGAAGCTTCCTATCACTCCAAACAACAGCTATAAAGTGCAAACGGTGCTCACGAAGCTTCCAATCACTCCACGGTGCTCACGAAGCTTCCAATCACTCCACAGTGCTCACGAAGCTTCCTATCACTCCAAACAACAACTATGAAGTGCAAACGGTGCTCACGAAGCTTCCAATCACTCCACGGTGCTCACGAAGCTTCCAATCACTCCACAGTGCTCACGAAGCTTCCTATCACTCCATATTGCTTCCAATTGCAGGAAGGGCCAAGGCTGCCCAATTCTCATGGCTCCAAAACAGTGAACATAGTGCTCAAAAAGGTGAAAGTGTTGAGCAAGTGCAGCTCCTAAATAGCTTCAAAAACAATAATTTATCGTGTTAAAAAGATAGTGAAATGTGCCTTTTCATGTACGGTTAATGCGACAAGTATAATATAAATGAAATTTAGGTATTAGATAGGTGAACATGTAAAAATTGTATGGCATGTAGGTAAATTTTCTTAAAAGAATCTGCCCACATTTCATTTATATTAAGCATAATTTTCAAGGGAAGCACGCCACCTAAATGAACATTTATGAGTAGGCTAACAAAAGTAACTTAATGTTACAGAAGAATTGTCAATTGATTTTTTTTTAGGCTCAAAATTATCAAAACGTTATAGCTGCACAAAGAGACTCATATATGGATGTAAGCAACATAAGTCTCCAAAAGGATAGTATCAAGCCTATGAGGTTTTCCAAATCACATGATTGCATGAGCCTTTTAAACCTTCGCAATTTTTGAATGGAAGAAAACCATTGACAGTTGCATCAAGTATAATAAATAAAATAAAATTTGCAAATCAATTCAGTAAAGGGAAGAGGAGGGGAAAATCTCACTTTCAAATATTTGGCTGAAGAGGGGAAGTTTCGATGTAGAGAGGCTGAAGCGAGTAGGACTCTTCAGCACAGCGATAACAAGGCGTCGAGCGGGACTGTTCGGTCATGAGGGAGATCGAGAAGAGAAGCATGATCGAGCGCTTCGGTTCTTCCTGTCGAGCGGGATCGAGCAGAGAAGCGAGATCGAGCAAGGGCTTCGCTCGGGAGAGTGAGGCGAGCGGGCTTGAGCAGATGAGCGGGGGTCTTCGACGTAGGAGTCGAGCACTTCGGTTCGCTGGAAGGAGTCCTGTCGAGTGAGGGAGGCGAGCAGGAGCATTGTTTGTTCGGGGGAGCTGAGCGGAAGCGAGCTGGAGAGAGGAGCTCGGGAGAGGCAGAGGAGGAAGACGAGCGGGACAGGGGGTCTTCGGTCGAGTGAGAGAAGGAATTTGAGGCTCTCGTGTGCGAGAAAGAAATAGGCCGGCGGGAGAAGAGCCGTTACTCAGAAGCAATTGGCGGGGAAATAAATGATTTTCATATGTAGGGGAGGTTCAATTGGAAAATTAAATGGAAATAATTAACTCCTGAATTAATTTAAATTAAGGCAGAATTTAAATAATTTATTTAAATTTTGAAATTTGAAATTCAAATTTAGGTGAGTTGGTGCCTAGCCCGTGCTCAGCTCGAGTTCAGCCCGAATCGAACCCGAGTTGAGCTCGAGTTGAACCTGGGTTAAGCCTGGGCCCGAGCCTTAAAAATGCATTGATATACGTGTTAATTGCTCGCACGCGAAACCATAATAATATAGGTGTTCTTCCTGGCTAAAGTTGATGTCCCGGACGCATCTGTGTGGTTCATTTCGTCATCTGAGGTCATCCAAACGAGTTCACAGACGGGCAAGTCAATTTAAGTCAAAGCCGTGCATAGTGCGACGCATGCGCAAAATGCGGCTCTAGCGAGTGCTCGAGTCACAAATGGTTCCCCTAGGGGCTACTCCTATTAATGTAGGAACTCAAATTGAGTTTCATGTGTCAGTTCTAATCAACTTAGCGAAATGCCGAGGATTCAGGACCACCCATGCGAGACTCGAAGGAGTGACGAGGTGACTCGAATATTCTAAATTGTGTGGGTTCGGTGCTAGTCCTCTAAGAGGATCAAACAAAAAACCTAAGGATAAACCCTAGGCTCTAAGGAGAAGTAAAGACCTCACTCAAAAATGAGGTCAACAACCATGACTTTCTCACTCTCACTGTCGAGACCAAAATCCTATAGGTATGAATCAACGACGATCCCTTTATTTATTGTTTTCGTATTACTAGGACGAAGAACATTGTTACAACTGCTCTTGCTCCTACTAGGCTCAGTTGATAGAGACAAAGACTGTGGTTGCTCCAAATGCTTAGCTGGGACGATTGGTGCATGATTAGAAAGTGTATTGCAGAAAAAAATCTAGTGTCCCATAATGAATTTTTAGGGTTTAGGTTAATTTTAATATAATATATAGTAATATTATATTATAATATGGTGTATTAAATCTTTTTTAAAAGTAATATGATTGACGTGATGCATCAACTGCCTTTAGTCATAAAGGCTCGAGGCAGTCTTAAATTTTTTTTTAATCCATGGCTATCATAAAATAAATCACATTATTACCTTTATGAAATCAATATATGATATGCTGAGAGTGACTGATATTGATAAGCCTTGTCTCAATTTTGCGTATAATATGTGAAATTCTATGATAAAGAAGGTGAAATGAATTCTTTATAGATCTGATAAAGAGAGACAATGAGGACATTTTTTTAATGAGATTATATATATATACATATATACATATATATATATATATATATATTGCGAAGATGAAATAAAAGTAACTCTTCTCTTCATTACTTAGCTTACTCTCTAAATTTGAGATAACATTTAATTTTTCATTAC